GACTAAAGAGCCTATATTTCTCTAGTTAAAAAATTTAAAGGAACTCTCTTTCCCTTCGTAAAAGGCCATTTATTTCTCTTAAAGCCCCCTAAAATAAAATTAATTTAGGGTTTTTAAACAATTGTTAACATCCAGAAGTCATTTTTAATATTTTTTATTCTCGTTATTTCTGCAAGTAAGCCTTTGTGTAGCATTTGGTATATTACTAAGTGCCATGAAAACAATTTTATTGATTATGTTTCACAGAAGGGAAAGAGAATGTAGGATTAAACAACAGCCCCTTCCATGGAACATGGTAGCATGTGGTATCATGATATCCTTCACCAAATTTAACTGTCCCTGATCACAAATTCCAAGATAATACAATACAATTTGAATGCATTTCTCCTCATCAGGAATGTTGGAGGTGCATTTTAAGTTTTAATAATAAATGCTAGAATGACCAAATTGCAGACTAATCGTTTCCATATTGTACTTAAAATGAGTTTTTAAAAATGAAAAGGATGACTCTACACAATCAATGCTATTTATTGTACCTCTGGGCCTACTCTTCTAAAAATTGTAGCTTATCAATTTTTCTCTGTCAAGCTTGAACTAATGTAAATAATTGAAATAATGTAAAGTTATATTTTCATGTTTTTATAGATACAACATGACAAGAATACATAATGTAAGAGTATTTCAACTATGGATAATGTTGATTGGATAATGCACATCTCAGCTACAAAGCAGTAATCATAGTTTAATATCCATGTAACGGTGCATCAATATATTGCTATATAAATATGTCTGTGTGCATATAAGTGAAAAGTGGTCAAACAAGAGTGATGACAGCTGTCTACAGGTTTTTTTATTCATTTTATATAAAAACTGTTATGTAAAGACCAAAATGTTTATGAACTATTCTTATGTAAATTTACAACTGTCCCTTACTGTACTTTTTTGTTTACAGTATAGTACCTTATTTTCTGCTGTGTTAAGTGGGTGTCAAACTCCAAGGAGACATACACTTTCTACAACTTCTATTGAAGATATTGGAATTTCCAATTTTTCATGTGTACTATGTCAGAAAATGCTTTTGATTTTATTTTTAAATCTAACATCAGATGGCTTTCTCGGAGTGTTGTAAAAACTTCAATCATACATAAAACATGTTCTTACAAAAGGCAAAGATCTTTATTTTTTTTTTTACTGAATAGTTCTTCAAACTAATAATAGTGAGAAATCAAAAAGTATATTTAAGTTTATTCTCAAACAAACCTGACTGTTTCTATTGAACAAAGACATCTTTGCTCAGTTTATATGTCAACTAAATACAAATGTAATAAGAGTAGAAATAACTTTGTTTTTTTTAGCTAAAATGAGTAACATTTTCAGTATTCCAAATCTATAATCATTAAGTGCTTAGGGCATATGGAGAAATATGACTGAATTTATCACATTTCTCAATTTTTGGTAGATATAAATGTTCCACATTGTTATCATCGGCCATTGCACTCTGTGTCGTGAGGTCAGTTGCTTTTATAGTCCTATAAAAGAGCCAGAATGGTGACTTGTTTTACAAATTCCATAAGGGAACACATTTCCAGGCTTACACGTTTTTCAAAAAGTGTGGTCATTTATTGTTTTACTGAGAGTACTAAGAAGAAAATGAAACTCTCACAGTTCTGATTAAGTCTTTTTATAAAGGTGATCATTTTAATATTTAGTCAGTCCTTGTAGGTAAATTATAAAATTATTAAGACATTTTAGTTCTTCAAAATTGCACATTAAAATTTCTTTTAAATTTAAATTTAAGATTTCTTAAAATTTTCTTCTAAAAAATTTGTGGATTTTAATATATTTAATGTTTAATGGATGAGTATGCAAATGCATCTGCTTAAAAATACAGTAATATTGACTTTCCACTCTGCAAATACTCTAAATATTTTAGTGGTCATATTAGTAAATTAAGCAAATGCAGACAAGCATTAACAATATAATAACCCTACAGGGTAACTGCAATACAACACCCTGACCATACTGTTTAAAAAGAACACTCACTGAAACTAATTAGAATAGAATTCGATATGTTTCTCCCCTTTTTTCCTTTCCCTATCTCATCACATCCTAGAGTTATGAATCTAGTAAATTTAAACAAATAACTCAAGAACCACCTCTACCTTGAAATGTGTCTGTGGGTTAATTTGTTTTCAGCTGGGTAGAATTTATTATCTATTGCACTTTGAGAGCCCTCTAGTCTGTTATGTAAAATGAAGTGTAATTTAGGCAAATAATCCATTTACCTCTAATTTGAATGAAATAAGTAAGTTTTTTGATTGAATTAGTTGCATAAATTCTCTGTCTTACCAATTTCAGTTGATAATGTGTGCTTTATTAATAATATACTATGAACTTTGGAGAGTTTATTGGCTAAGTCTCACAAATTTTTTATGAACTCAAAATAAGCTTATTAAAGGAAATAGAAGAATGAGGTAAATATATGTTTAAAAGTAGCATAATTTTGTACAAGGGGCTCTAATACTTGAAATTGGCTTATTTTTAATCACCTACATGAAAGATGGGTAAGTATAAAAGAATCATCATGACATTCTGAATGAAAATCGGGGGACGTATTAAATGGTTTGTGAAAGTTGTATCAAATTTTATTAAAAGGAGGGGTTCATTCTCTTAAAGTATTGCTTTAGCTAGACTATGACACTGGAGATTTGATTAGGTTCTATCAATAAATTATACTTTCTCTATTTCTATGTTTTAAAACAACACCAGCTCATAGGCAGCGTATGGCACTCTAAGTACATGAAGGTTCAAGTGTATTTTTATAAATATAGTATTCAGGCACAGAGATGAACACAAATAACCTCCTACCCAGGGCAAGCAAGGAAGTGTCTGGAGTAAATATGGATCATAAGAATTTGTGTATACATTTTATATCCTGTCTCCATTCGTTTCCTTCTTGCCTTACCATTTTACATTCTCTTCCTGCCCTTAAGTATAACTGCCATTTTTCATATATTATACCCCAGATGGTCTCTCTGTTTTTAGTTTCATTCATCTTGCCTTTTTGCCTTTTCTCCATCTTATCCCAGCTATTTCTGGCCTGTCTGTTATGAGAGGTTTTGTTTGGAGGGCACTTGGAATACAGTTCATTTTGTCAAAGACAGGTCTGACAGTTTCAGAGTCTTCCTAATAACTAATAAATGACTAAGAATTTCTCCAATGAAATAAAAATTTCCTGCAAAGCTCTATTTCTGCATGGCTCACATATTCTGACCCAATAATTGCAAATGTGTGATGTTCCTCCATGTACTTAAAGAGTCGCACAGTTTATAGAATTTCTGTAGAAAGTGGGAGGCTCTTCAATGGAACAGGAGGAGTGAGAACTCTATTTTTAATATGTTTGCTCATCAGAATCTCTTTTTAAAGTCACTTTACGATGAGCACAAGCCAATTCTCTACTTTAATTCCACCCTCAAGCTCTGCCCAGTTATCCCTTAATTGCCTTTTTTCCCCGTTAGCTGTAAGTCAACTGTGCCATTTCACAACAAAATTCCTTTTGGATAAGCATAAACTCACTGTTACTTCATTGGATATGCCTGAATTCGCCGAATGAATTTGGTCATTTTTCTTTCTTTTTTTTTTCCTTTCAGGTTAATGTGCCAATTTCATTTTATTGTAAATTGGAATGTGGGGGAGTGGATTAAGCACTTGGGAGGGAGTCAGAACCAGGATTCTAGCTTTATCTCTCCTTGTTTCACGCCTCCCTTTGTCTCTGTCTTCTCAACTGGAGTATACGGATACTAGGACTATCTCATGGCAATGATGCAAGGAAGTTTAATATGATCATTTAAAACATAATAACATTGTGTCTTCTTTAAAAAGTGGTTTGAAGGAACAAATTTGTGCATTGGAGT